TTGGTGGTTGTCTCAAAGAAAATCGTCCATAAGAAAAATATTTAAGTTGTACTTGACTGAGAAACAGATACCATGCGAAAGAAATTATGTTTCTGCTTTGGGTAGATACTTTTCCAAAAGGACTAAAGCAATCTTTGTACTTTAAGAAATCTTTGTACTTTAAGGAAAACAACTTATAGTATTTACCAGTTGACAGAATACACATTTCAAACACAAATTAAAAATTTGTAAGACACTGTTAATATTTGAAAGATGAGAAAAATTCTGTGAACCACTATTTCCCAAATTACTAATGGCTGATACAGGTTGAGCATCCTTACTCCCCAATATATGAATCCTTCAAAATCCAGTGCTTTTTGAGCAGTGACATGACACTCAGGTTTCAGAGCATATTTAAAACTCCACATAGACAATCTGAGATACTTCCAGGCTCATGTATTTTGGATAAGGAATACTCAACCTGTATTACAAAATCATTCAAGTGCAAGATAGTTAAGTGTAACAGAGTTAGAGTTACATTGACATTATATCAGGAAAGCTTATCTATAATTACCTGAACTTAAGCTTCTGAATGAGGATTAACCTTCCCTGAGCTCTCAGCCAAGTTGTTTAGCATTTCTCTTGGATTTGAGTTCTCCAGTTGGGGAGGAGGAATGAGAGGGGAGTAAAAAGAGTAATCTCTAGGGGCAAGGGAAAGACCCATTGACAATAATCAAATATATACCAGGGCTTTATATAACTAATATAAACCACACAGTGTGTAAAATGGTGCTAATAAAGACTCAAAGTGGTTAGATCAGCCTGCCACCGTCACACAGCTACATACAGCCCTAGGGCTGGGATTTGAACCGAGATTTGTCTGTGCATAAGACTGAATGTCCTCCTAGTGGGACAGTGTCATAGAGCAGCTAATAGGTAATTCTGCCCCTCCTTCCCAGATAAAAAGCTTCAAGGTTCGTTATCATCTCAGTAATGAATTTCATACCTATAATGGCTTCTGAAACTCAGTGCCTGGCATTCAGGTGCAGGAAGTGATTGCAGAATGAATGGGTCCCATTTACCTGGACATTTCTTCTTAAGGTCTGTGCTTAACTTTCATGATCCAGCCATGACCCTCCTTTCAATTACTTTAAAAACAGATATTAGTCTCTTCCCTCTCTCTCAACTCTAACGGAAGCTCAGTAACCTCTGGCATGACTCATGTTGAACACACTTGCTATTCTGACTAGGAATCAACATCATTCAAGTATATGTTTTCTCTGTGGCTCTTCATTTAAACGATACTACCCTGGGCATAATCAGTTTTAAACAGGACCTCTCCACATCTTCAGACTGTGTGGCAGACCTGTTGAGTAAGCGGCAACTATTACAGATGACACCACTGAGACCAGAATATTTTGCTCCCCCATTCAAAATAGGCGAAGCATGCTGTTATTTTAGTGTACTTTGGCTTCTTATTAAAAGAGGGCAATGGTGAGTTAGATCTTGCATTCTAACCATTTTGTTGTACCCCAGTTTTTGTAATAATATCATAGCAAATAACATTTACAACTGAATAACATTTACAAATGAATACCATTTTGTATTCATGGTGTTCAGTATAGACTTTTTTTCTCCATTGATGTCTGTGGTCCACCTGGCAGCTTTCCATGCACTCTGTTCTTATCTGATATAGCCCAGATGACTGCCTGAAGAAATGCCAAGAGCCTGACTTACGGTCCAGATTCTCAGTTACTATTCTTTCTTTTCATTTAGCTTTAACTTTCCCACTTGCCATCTGCACCTTACATGTGAGTGGGCTGAACTCATTTTGCATAGATTCTAAGTTGTATTTGACAATCTGGATAATAATATCCTAGGTTTTCAGCTTAATACTTACCTTCTCATTACATAGTGTTTATTCTTAAAATGTTTTTCTGAAAGAGAAGAATGAATGTATATTGAGTACCTGCTTAAAGGCAGAAATTATGTACCAGAATTTTTCTGTGTTTTATTGTCATAACTCACAGACACTGTCTTCTCCAGCACCAATGAGATAACTCAGGTTCAGTCTACTACCCAAGGTCATGCAAGCTATTAAGAGGTACAGCTCAGATCTGAAACATGTCAGTTTAACCACAAGTAGGCTCCCAACCAGCCACCTGCCTCTGCTTGTCTGACTTCATCTGGAAGTGGTGACATCCTTAGAACAAAGCTGTTCAGAGGATAAATGAGAGTGTACTCATGGAAGTATAGAATATAAATTTATGGCACTGGTGGCTCATGCCTGTAATCCTGGCTACTCGGGAGGCTGAGATCTGAGGATTGCGGTTTGAAGCCAGCCTGGGTAGGAAACTCTATGAGACTCTTACCTGCAGTTAATCACCAAAAAGCCAGAAGTGGAGCTGTGGCTGAAGTGGCAGAGCACTAGCCTTAAGCAAAAGAAACTCAGAGACAGAGCCCAAGCCCTGAGTTCAAGTCCCAGGACCAACACAAAAAATAAAATATAAATATATTAAAAAATGCATGTTGGAAGTGGTGCTGTGGCTCAAGAGGTAGAGCACTAGCCTTGAGCTGAAGTGGTGAGGGACAGTGCCCAGGCCCAGAGTTCAAACTCCATGACCAACCAAAAACAAAAAATAAAAAAATGCATGTTTATAGTAAATAAAATCAAACATTCTCAAGAAAGATTATGACACTTTAAACAGTACACTCACTTTCCATAACCTACACATGCAAGCAACTGGTCCCTAAAAATAGGTGTCAGGTGAAATGGCTGAGCAGGAATAGGAGCATGTTCAAAACAGAAGCTAAAGACATGGTTGCTTCCTAAACACATTGCTACTCTTTTCATTCACACCAGGACCTTCCTGCTTCTATGAAAAACCCTGCTGCAAAGCAGCGCCTCTCTATCGGTCATAAGTTTCCCATTCATCAGGGCCATTTAGGTTATTCTCTTACAGGCCTTCAATATACAGCCAGTCTGCTCCCAAATCCAGCAAGAAATCAATTGTGATATGAAAACATGTAGAAATTATTCCTCAGCAATGTTCAGAGAACAAATGAAACCCTGGGGCCTGTTCTCAGAACTGGGATGCAGGAAATGCTGTCCTATTTTTTTTTGTTTTCTGTCTTGTACATCTTTTATTGTAAAAATACCATACAGAGGAGTTACAGTTACATGAGCTAGGTTATGAGTACATTTCCTATTGAGCATTGTTGCCTAGTCCTTTGTTTATCCCCTACCATCCCTTCCCTCCCCACCTCCACAACTACCAACTCCCTCCCCACCTATCCACCGCTCCCCCCACCAAAGTTGTAAAATTTGCTTTCAACATCGTGTCTTATACATCTCATTACAATGGGTCAACCTGCATCCCTATTTAAGCATTTTGTTTTTTCCCTTCCCCTTCCCAAATTAGAGAAGTGTATACAAGATGCAGGGCACTGACATCAAATACAGTAAAAACAGAGGTTATGCCGTGGGTGGGGGGAACATACAAAGAAACAAAAAAAAAAAATCACATGGTACATTATAAATCTGTTAGAAACAATAGTAAGAAAGAAAAAAATATAGCCGGATGCCGGTGGCTCATGCCTGCAATCCTAGCTACTCAGGAACCTGAGATCTGAGGATCATGGTCAAAGCCAGCCTGGGCAGGAAAGTCCATGAAACTCTTATCTCCATAAACCACCAGAAAACCGGAAGTGGCGTTGTAGCTTAAGTGGTTGAGAGCTAGCCTTGAGCTGAAGAGCTGAGGGACAGCGCTCAGGCCCAGCCCCATGACCGACAAAAAAATAATTGTATCCCTATCTTGGGGTTCATTTCGCTTAACATCATCTTATATGGTCATATATACATAGCTTTTGACCTTTTCTACTTGTCCTACTCATGTACTAGTTATTGCAAATAAGGGAAACCATGGGACCTATGTTTCTTTGGGCCTGGCTTAGCTATCCTATTTATTAAACCCTTCTAGATGAGCAGAGAGATAGCAAGGTGCAAGGAGCTCTTTGGAGGAAGTTTGCTACTGTGCTTATGTTCAAGTCTGCTTGAGAACACATAACCAGATAAGAAGCAGTCTCTCTTATAAGAAGGCTAGAAATTCTTTTTAGCTCCATAATTTCAGTTGTAAAGTTAGTGTATGAAATGAAGTTCCTTAGGAAGAAACAATATTGAAAACCAGTGTTATCACTTAATACAAAAAGTACAAAAAAGCAATAATTTGTTCTTTATTTTTATTGCTTTATGGACATACATTTATAAACAAACATAAAATATTAAGATTTGGTGTTTATAGGTGTAGGTAAAGAATATTTAGCCATTGTATTTGTTTTGGTCTTCCCAAGAGTTTAAATGTTTTCTTGAAAACATTTCAAACAACCACTAGACTTATAGTCCTATTGTAATAAACTTACAAAACAAAAATGAGACCTGGTAAAAGCTGGAGGTTTACATTTCACCCTTTTCTTTGAGATGTTTTCACGGAGAAGCAGGATGTTCCTCGGATTTGAAAGCCTGTTTATCTTTCACAAATGTGATATTTCTGCATTCATCTGTTCTGTTTCTGCATTCATCTTTTCTAAGTAATGACGTTGACAATAAGAGATACAGGACTAAACACTAACGTGGTAAACAAAAGTAGAGAACATGGATAAAATTGTAATAAGACTTGATTGACTGGTTCCCTAAGGAATGAAAGGGGTAAAAATTATTTTATGGATGATGGAAATATCCTCTTTCAATCATAGTGATAAATACATGAGTTATCCATTTTCTAAATACATATAGTATAAATGTATAAGAATAAATCATAAAAATAAATCACAAAAATTATGATTGATTGCTAAACTACAATCTTACCATTCTTTGGGGAAAATACTTCTTAATTTTCTAACATTCAGATAGAATATTTGAGTTCCTGCTAGTGCTAGAAGACAGAGTTCAGCGTGAACATGCTGAATTGCATGAGAAGAGGAGAGATATTTTCTGACATTCCTGTTTTTTCCTTCTCCTTTAGCCCTGGAATGAGACCAGATGTAAGCTCGCCTCCTTCTAGCTCCTCAACAGCAACGGGACCACCTCCCAAACTCTGCCTGGTGTGCTCTGATGAAGCTTCAGGGTGTCATTATGGGGTCTTGACATGTGGAAGCTGCAAAGTATTCTTCAAAAGAGCAGTGGAAGGTAGTGTGTGTTTTGAAGAGTTTTATGTTTCCTATTTCTTGCAGTGGATTTTGAAATTTCCACTGTATGCAAAGCCCAGCCTCAGTACAGAGGTCCTTGGTCTTCAGAGGGGAAGGAGATATTTTTTAAAAACAACACAAGCACAACTAGAATAAAATGGGGAAAGTATATAAATTGATGGGAGAATCTGGGTGAATCAATATTGTAAGAAAGTGCTATCATGTAAAATAGTTTTGGCATTATAAGCATTAATATATGCTCATAGTATGAGATCCTAGGCTGTCAATTCTCATACTGAAGTTGATTTCAAAACCACAAACTATTTTGGTTAGGCAGACTTGAGTGGCAATGAGATCTGTGAGGGGCAAAGGGTATCCACTCATTCATTTAACCCCTTATCAAGCCCAGGCAATCATGCTAAATGGTGGGATATCATTAAATCCTGTTCCAGTCCCTGAGGGACATTACAGTCTACTGGAGTACAGAGATTGGAATATAGAGGCAAGAGTTAGAAAACCTACCTGTTATCAGGAAAGAAACTTAATATAAACCTAACTCATGTTACGGATACAGAATGCTGACAGGGCAGTCACAGCATTTTGTCTCAACCACTGAATCCTCTTGGGGAAAAAAATAGGTATATAATTTAGTTAGTTGCAAAACAGTTTGAAATCAGTGTGGCCTGAATGGGTTACCTAAAGCTCTGATTTTTTTTTTAAAAGAAACTAATAATCCTCATATAAGGAGTCAATGTTATTTGGCTAGAGTTGTATTGTATATCTTTGAGAGTTAGAGGAGTCCTTTTATTATAAAATTATACTACAAGGATGCAAGTTTGTGATAGCTCCTACCTACCCAGGAGAATCATAAAGTAAGACCACCCTTCTGCAATGCTTCCAATAGCGTGGATGCTACTTAACACATAGTGCTATGTAAAGTGAAGATAAGATACTCTTGACTTTCTTAATTGCTTGAGTATTAAAATATTGCTGTGTATGTGTATATATATATATATATTGCTGTGTGTGTATATATATATATATTAAAATTGGCAAATGGATTTTTGAAAATGAAATTCAGAATGAGGCAATGAAACAACTTATGAGATGAAAAATATTTTTCACTTATTTTTGTAAAATAGGGTTACAAATGCAAATGCCTTTAAGGGTCAACTGTGTCATCCACTGTAACCAAATATAATACCCTGGAGGTAAGTGGACAGGACTGATGTTGGAGACACACGTCCAATCTAGGAGCATTGAAATGCAAGTAAACCAGAAAAAAGCTAACATTACCTCTGAATTATAAAATTATGGCAAGTCATGGTCCTGAAACTGAATCATTGCTTTAAAAATAGGTTCTTACACTTGCTTTTTGCGTAGAATTTAATTGAAAATTAGATACACTATTTGCAAATATTTCAGTAAAGTATCATAGTGAGATTATATTACTGACAAAGTTGAAATGTGGATGACATTAATTAGATCACATTGTTCTGTTTCCTCCTCATTTGGATTTGAATATATTCAGAAGCACTTCCCAGATCTAAACTTTTGTAATCTTTTCATACTCTAACCATGGTTTCCATATTCTAGGCATTATGAAAAATTTGAAGCCCAGACACATGCTTACTTTGCAACACCTTAACAATGATAAAGAGACAGATAGTATAACTGGAATCATATATTGTCTGCTCCATTTTCAGCATGTTACAAAGGATACATTTCCCCTCCTTTCCCCAAAATTTATTTTTAGAAAATCTATAGATGTTTTATTGCCCAAGCAACCCAGAACCAATGATATTTTGTGTTGAATTTTTCATTCAGTATTCTTGGTGTGTTGCTCTTCCATGAACAGTAAGGTTTTCCATTTCTTTCTAGTCTTTTTTCCCCATATCAGTTTTTCTTTTTTTTATTCCTTTGCCCAGAAGTGCATGTAATCTTTCTTGGTAGATCAGAAAGGAGATAAGCAAATTAAAGGTAGTTTTTATTAAAAAATTATTAAACATTGAGAAAATAATTTTCTATAAAAATTTGTAACATACGCTATATGTACACTAGTAATTATTGCTCATTAAAAAAAATTAACCCTAAAATCAGTAGCTTAAAGCAACACTTATTATGTCATGCAGTTTGAGTCAGGAATCTAGAAGCACAGCTTGGTGGTCAAGGCCTCTGTGAAGTTAGGTTCAGGCAGTCACTGGGCTGTAGTCATTTAAAGTCTGGGCTGGGCCTTGATGGTTCACTTCTAAGTTCACTCACATGGCTTTTAGCAAAAGCTTCTTCACTACATTGGCCTCCTCTAAGGCTACTTTCAGTGTATCAGCTAGCTTCCCCCATAACAAATGTTCCAAGAGATTGTAAACAATGCAGCAGAACATGTAGCATACCACCACTTCTGACATATTTTACTGATCAGAGGCCAATCTTGTTATATCATCAGAAGGGAATATTAAATATCAGGAAACAGGTCACTTTGGGCCATCTTGAAAGCTGGCTATTACATTTACCATAAATAGAAAACCAGAATTACTTGCTGAAAACAGTTTTAACTCTGTGTGTGTGTACTATGTAAACAACATTAAGACAACATTAAGAAGTTTCTGTTGTTACAAATACTCTTCACTAACTTTTAGTAGTTAAAAGGGAACTGGGGGGGGGGGGGGAGGAGCTGGGAAGGTGGCTCAGTGGTAGAGCGCTTGCCTTGCATGCATGAGGCCCTGGGTTCGATTCCTCAGCACCACATAAGTAAAAAGACAAAAGCCGGAAGTGGTGCTGTGCCTCAAGTGGTAGAGTGCTAGCCTTGAGCTGAAGAGCTGAGGGACAGTGCCCAGGCCAGAGTTCAGGCCCCACGACCAGACCCCCCAAAAAAGGGAACTGGGAAGAACTAGGAAGATTGATAGAAAAGGTGATATTGATCAAGATGCATTAATACTCATAAATAGACATGTTCAATTGAAACCCCTTTGTATAACTATTTTAAATAACTTATATTTAAATTTACTATGTTTTACAAAGGGACTTGAACCAGTGGAAGAAAACATAGCTATCTCATCTTATTTAAAAGGATATGTGGGAAATGAGTATTAGTACATGGACATGCCTTGTGGAATAGTGAACACAAGTGGAAACTGCTTGTTTTATGGATAAGGAGCAGCACACTTGCCAGCTCCATACTAATAATCTGAAATTCTAATTTAGGAATAAAGTACAGTGTCCTTGAGCCAAGAGCAGTGTTTCTGCTATGCTCCGCATACAACCTAGTATTAGCATCTTACAGACCATTGGGATTTCTTATTTAGGGATATTCTTGTCAATCTTTTCTTTCTTTTTTTGCCAGTCTTGGGGCTTGAACTCAGGGTCTGGGCACTGTCCCTCAGCTCTTCAGTTCAAGGCTAGCACTCTACCACTTGAGCTCAGTGCCATTTCTGGCTTTTTCTGCTTATGTGGTGCTGAGGAATCGAACCCAGGGCCTCATTCATGCAAGGCAAGTGCTCTACCACTGAGCAACCTTCCCAGCCCTATTTAGGGATATTCTTTTTTTTTTTTTTTTTTTTTTTTGTCGGTCGTGGGGCTTGAACTCTGGGCCTGGGCGCTGTCCCTCAGCTCTTCAGCTCAAGGCGAGTGCTCTACCAGTTGAGCTACAGCGCCACTTCCGGTTTTCTGGTGGTTTATTGGAGATAGGAGTCTCACGGTCTCTCCTGCCCGGGCTGGCTTTGAACCACGATCCTCAGATCTCAGCCTCCTGAGTAGCTAGGATTACAGGCGTGAGCCACCAGCGCCTGGCAAGATATTCTTACGGAGTTAAACTTTTATAGATGCCTCAACCATTGTCTGTTATTCCTACTTTTGCTTTCTAAAAGAATCTTTTGGGGTTAGTGCTATATTAAGCTTACAAACACCGAAAGGAACTGTTATAGCTAGCACAGCCCTTGGCAGTAGAAAATCTGGAATAAAGCCTAATTATACATCCTTAGTCAACATCATGGCCCATTTTCCACAAAGAATTAAACATCATATGGTTGACCATCTACTTCAAACTAAGATTTAAAGAGAAAAGTATGATTTATAAGGAAGAAACAATTTTTTAGTAAATATTAGGTTGAAGTAAAGAATCTTTTCATAGCAGTGAGACCAGATATATGCAGACTAGTGAATTGGTATTATAACTTTTCTTTGAGTATTATTCTTGAGAAATGTTGTTCAGTCAGTGTAAGGTACATGAAATCTTACTTATCTATTGTATTTACAAAGACATGCTAGTCCTTCGGTAATTTTCTTCAGAAGACTGTAAGAATGAATGGGAAGATGGCTTTTAGTCTATCCCTTTTAAAAAGGCTTTTGCTGAAAATATTTTGCCAAAACAGAATTAAAATTCTTAATACTCAATACTGAATAACAGAAAATTTAGACAGTAACTGTCTTAAATTAATAACCCGAGTCAAGGTAAATTCAAACATTCAAACATTTTATATTCTGAAAATTTGTAAGATCTATCTAGCCATTTGCTGGCATTACTGATCATTCAACTATGACTGATCATCCATTTTGACTCATCGTATGTTACTGCAGTTCAAATGAGAAGATTTTGTTTGTATATCATGGCATGACAAGGTCCCTTTAGAACTCCCATAGTTTATTTATTTATTTATTTGTTTGTTTATTTATTGTGGGTTGTGCAGCTTGAACTCGGCCTTGGCACCGTCCTCAGCTCTTCAAGTCAGGGCTAGCACTCTCCCACTTGAGCTACAGCGCCACTTCCGGTTTTCTGGTGGTTTATTGGCGTTAAGAGTTTCATGGACTTTCCTACCTGGGCTGGTTTTTAACCTTGAACCTCAGATCTCAGCCTCCTGAGTAGCTAGGATTACAGGTTTGAGCCAGTGGTGCCCAGCTGCCATAGTATTTTTTAAATTTACTTTCTTAACTAATGTAAAAACATAATTTATACAAAAAAAGAACTTGCGTTTGATTAGTAGTGACTAGACTCAGACATGAAGCAGATATATTGGACACCATTCTGTTCCTTGCTTGATATGAGGGCTACTTATTTGGAGATGTTCAGTTTATAAAAATGTATTAAAGTGGTGGTATACCTTTGACTTGTGCCCTTTATTAAACTCTTTTCAATTTGTGGAGCAGAATGAGAGACTTTTCTAGCTTCTGAATTTTGTAATTAATGTCAGTGTATATAAATAAACTGTTACCTTCCTTAGGTAACTTTGGTTTTGTTTTGGGAAAATAACAGCCAAGTTCCAAAGAAGCTCACCATAAAAAATACTGGGCAGCCACATTGGTCCTAAAGACCCATGGCATTTTAACTCTGCCTTTTATGTTATATAGGACAGCACAATTATCTTTGTGCTGGAAGAAATGATTGTATCATTGATAAAATTCGAAGAAAAAACTGCCCAGCATGCCGCTATCGAAAATGTCTTCAAGCTGGAATGAACCTGGAAGGTAAGGTACTATCTGAAAGGAATTACCTCTCTATCATGTCAAAATTGTTATTTTACTTTCCCCCCAGTACTGGAATTTGTACTCTGTGCCTACTGAGCCTTGGTTTTTGCTGGGTATTTTTAGGATAGGGTTCCACTTCTTACCTAGGCATTATGCCTGGATTATGATCCACCTACTTAAGGTTTCCCCGTAGTTGCTGGGATCAGGCACATACCACTGCATGTAGTTTCCCTGAAAAGAGATGGAGCCTTACTACTTTTCTGCTTGGGCTGGCCTTGAACTACAATCCTCAAGATCTCAGCCACCTAAATAGCTAGTATTACATGCCCTAGAACCTAGCTGGTAATTTTACTTACCGCTTAAGCAGATATAATAGTTTACATGTGCTTAGCTAGCATAATTTTATATTATTGCCCAATAAAGTATATTGGGTTCTTCCACCAGTTCTTATAACATCTAAATGAACTTACTTGGAAATATCTTTTATATTTCTTACTTTTTTCAGCTCATTTGTTCCCTAGGGTTGGAAGTATTCCTATGTCATATGTATCTCCATGTCCATTTTCCTTCTCTTTTAAAAAACTTTGTAGTTGGACTCAGTAGCTCATACATAATCCTAGCTACTCAAGAAGTAGAGATTAAGGTCTTGGTTTGAATATAGCCCCAGCAAAAAGTCTGAAAGAGTCCATCTCAACCGAAAAAGCTGGAGGTGGTGTCTTCCCAGCTATGTGTGAAGAAGCATAAAATGGAGGATTGTGGTTCAGGCCAGCTGCAGAAAAATGCAACATCCTAGCTGAAAAATAATGAAAGCCAGAAGGTTTTAAACTAAAGTGGTAGAGCACCTGCTTAGCAATTGTCAGACCCTGCATTCAAACCCCAGTATCACCTTTTCCTTTGAAAAAGATGCCTAATTACAGCTCTGCCAAAGAGAAAAAGGAAAACTTGAGGCATTGGATGGGTTTTGTCTTTCAAGAACAAATCCAAAACTAGTTATAAGTTTGAGTTTCATAGTCCTATTTATATAACAAGTTGTATAACTAACACTGATATTACCATTTAAAAAAAACCCTCAACTTTCCTCTAAAAGAATTTAGAATTTTACTGAAGTTAAAAGGGCAAATTCTATGAAAGCAGTGATCTAATTACTTGGGTTGCTTACTACTTGTGGAGACTATAGCACTTTCATGAAGCAAGTATTCACCAATAAGCATACCTAAAATGAAGTCCAATGCTCTGCAAGGAGTTTACTGTGTCTGGATTGCATGACAATGATAAAACAGATCACATCACAGAAGGAACAAGTGGGAAGCTACCTAATTTTGTCCAGAAAGTCAGGAAAGACATCCTAGAAGAACTAATGTTGATTTTTTAGATTATTAAAAAAAGATGAGTAGGGGCTGGGAAGTTGGCTCAGTGGTAGAGCGCTTGCCTTGCATGCATGAGGCCCTGGGTTCGATTCCTCAGCACCATATAAGCAAAAAGAAAAAAGCCGGAAGTGGCGCTGTGGCTCAAGTGGTAGAGTGCTAGCCTTAAGCTGAAGAGCTAAGGGACAGCGTCCAGGCCCAGAGTTCAGGCCCCACGACCGGACCCAAAAAAAAAAAAAAGATGAGTAGGAAGTAGTTGAAAAAGTAAGGATAGAGACATGCTCACATTTATGGTTTAGACTAGTCTTGTTTTGAGACCAACTAAATGAGTATAGTGGTAGACTAGATAAGAATAAAGTAGAATCGTATGGTTCTTTTGATAAGAAAGACTTTGGGGGCAACCTTGTACAGACTTTATATCACTAATAGGTTACTAAAACCTAATTCCCAAACCGTACACTGTTTTAACTATGGCCAGGTTGCTTAAACCTGACTGCATTGCTAGCATATTTCTGTTTGGAAATTGTTTGTTGTTATTTGGTTGATTAGTTTTGTTTTTTTAAGACAGAATCTCACTATAAGAGCCCAAACCACCATCAAACTCAGGGTCCTCCTATATCAGCCTTGAAAGTGCGTTACAAAAGTGAGAGATTAATTAACATTCAAAGGGCTCACTTTAAGTGCTAAAAAAAAGTAGTTTCTTTTTCTTACATATAAAAAAATAGGGCTGGGAAGGTGGCTCAGTGGTAGAGCGCTTGCCTTGCATGCATAAGGCCCTGGGTTCAATTCCACAGCACCACATGAGCAAAAAAAAGCTGGAAGTGGCGCTGTGGCTCAAGTGGTAGACACTAGCCTTGGGCTGAAGAGCTGAGGGAGAGCGCCCAGGCCCAGAGTTCAGGCTCCACAACTGACAAAAAAGAAAAGAAAAGAAAATATATATCCTTTACTTTGTTACAGACAAACTCTCTGGCTAGATTTTTCCCCCTATTCATATTCTCTCTCTCTCTCTCTCTCTCTCTCTCTCTCTCCTTCTCTCCCTCCCTCCCTTCCTCTCTCTCTCCCCCTCCCTCCCTCCCTCTCTCTGTCTCCCTCCCTCCCACCCTCTCTCCCTCTCTCTCTCCCCTGCCATAGCACCACTTCCAGTTTTTGAGTGATTAATTGGAGATAAGAGTCTCTTTCACTCACGTAGACTTTCCTGCCCGGGCTGGCTTTGAATTGTGATCCTCAGATCTCAGCCTTCTGAGTAGCTAGGATTTTAGGCGTGAGCTATCCGCCAGCCCCCAGCTACTTTTTCCTGCTCTCTAACTATTTAGATATGTTCTCAGCACCTCAGCCAAGCATTTTTCAATTTAGCATACATTAGTTATGCAGGGAAGATTTTACTGTGTCATTTCCACTCACAGATACAACATAATCCAGCCTCACCCCACCTATCACAACCCCTTTCTAAAATCACGTTTTCACCATGATTCACTTCTATACTTTCACACATGAAAGCAGTCTTCAGCCATATTCACCCTCATTCACCCCATCCTGCTTGTACTCATGCCCCTCATAAAGGCTGTTTTTCTTTCCCCCTCTTCCCAAGCCAAGCAGTTTTGATGATAGCCCCAGAGTTAACTTTGCTAAAGCAGTTAGTGCTTCAGCCCAGTTATCTCTGGCAGTGTAACTTAGTATTGCTCCAAGGGTTGTATTTTGATACTGTTGCCCCATACCAAGTAAACCTCAAGATTTATTTTGAGGTAGACTTCTTCACTGCTTACAGTCCTGGGCATTTAAATTTAGATAAGTTTATTATGGTGATCCTCCATGTTTTAAGGTATCTTGTAATCATTCCTAACTATATCTTTACTTTTGGTATAAATGTTTTTGGTACAAACAGTTAAATAGATCTTAATAGGCACATAGACTTACTTAACAAGATTTATCTCTATTTAAGAGCAAGTGGTATTATTGCAAGCATCTGGATACTTCTATAGAGATTCTATACTTACTGATGCTTAACTCCTTGCTGAGGATACTTTGAAAATGTATTGGTATTAACTTATGGATGTAGCACAATTCAGTTTATTAGCACTTTCTGAACTTTATCCAGCAAGATCAGCTGGGAACGTAGCTAAATAGTAGAGTGCTTGCTTAACATGTACACAGCCCTGCTTCCACCCCCAGTGCTAGAAAAAGCATCATCCTTATCTGGACCACAGGTAGACCAAAATTAATTACACACTGAGTCACACAGAAAATGATTTTTTAAATCCCCAGCTTATTACTAACCTTTCTTCCTTTACCATACACCACGAGAAGTCATGGTTACATGAAGTTTTTACAGTATCATTCAGTGTAGATTTGGGATCTGAGTTTTTGTAAAAGACTTTTGAAAGGTTTCCCATGTACAAGAACTCTGCCTTTTTAACGTTTTATCACTACTCTATGGAGTTCTACTAGCTCAACTTCTTGAAGTTTTCTTTTTTGGGGGGAAGGGTCCGGTCATGGGGCCTGAACTCTGGGCCTGGGTGCTGTCCCTCAGCTCTTCAGCTCAAGGCTAGTGCTCTACCACTTGAGCTACAACGCCACTTCTGGTTTTCTGGTGGTTTATTGGAGATAAGAGTTTCATGGACTTTCCTGCCCAGGCTGGCTTTGAAACTCAATCCTCAGATCTTAGCCTCCTGAGTAGCTAGGATTACAGGCATGAGCCACCGGAGTCCGGCTTTTTAAAAATTCTTAAATTTCTTAATGCTTACAGAATATCTTCAATGTCTTTTCCCCCTAACACTCAATAGTGTGAAATAGCTCCTCACACTAGTATTTTGTTATTTAGAAATCATTTTGTTTACTTTCTCTTTGCAAAATAGTTGGCATCCTTCACCTCTGAGTCAGGTACATTTCTTGCCCTTAGGGCTCTCAGTTCTCTATTTGAGAGTAATGTAGAGGATTGATTTAATAGCTCACTACAATAAGCCCAACTACTCAGGAACAGTAAGATGTTGGTGCAAAGTCAGGCAGATCTTGTCTCAGCAAATTAGCTCAGTGTAGCAACTTGCATTTATAAACACAACTATGTTAGGAGGATTACAGTATGAGGCCAGCCACTGACAAAAAGTAAATGAAGCAAAAACAAGTCCCTACCTAGCAAGCACAAGATCTTGAGCTCAAATCTCAGCACTGCCAAAACTAGTGCGTCATCTATGTCACCTTCCTATACTGGTAAGGAAGACTTCTATGCACCTGTACCAATGGTCACTGTCTTACTCACACAACCATAATGTAGACTGACCCAGAGCTATAATTTCTGATGTGCTGTTTTTTATTACAAATGCAACTTGTCCTATATAACTTAGGTGAAATTTTCAGAGTGAAAATGAGACTAAATAGTTTACAGAAGTGATTTGTTCAGGTAGCTTTAACAGTGACATAAGATTTAAGGTAGACCTTTAGCTCTATCATAAAGTTACTGAGTTACTTGAAGCAAAGCATGTATGGGAATGCAGCTTTTGTTTTCAAGGACAAAAGGATCTCGTATTGCATGTCACTATCACCACTGCTAAATGAAATATTTCTCCTTTTGGGGGAACAGTTTCAGAACTATTGAAAATGATTGCAAATAACTTAATAGTACTGCAATATCACGCTTACGTCTGGATGACCAAATACTTAACTTCCTACTACAATTCATTTCTGTGTAATTTTTCAATACTCACAGCTCGAAAAACAAAGAAAAAAATAAAAGGAATTCAGCAAGCCACTACAGGAGTCCCACAGGACACTTCTGAAAATCCCAACAAAACAATAGTCCCGGCCACCTTACCACAGCTCACCCCCACCTTGGTATCACTGTTGGAGGTCATTGAACCTGAGGTATTATATGCAGGGTACGACAGCTCTATTCCAGACACAACGTGGAGGATCATGACCACACTCAACATGTTAGGAGGACGCCAAGTGATCGCAGCGGTGAAGTGGGCGAAGGCTATACCAGGTAAGATGCAAATGTTGACACAGCTACAGAATAAACCTTGATTTTTTTAAATGGGTTTTGTATGACTTTGATCTCTTGGCATATCTTGTTTTTCTTCCTCGCTTTTAACTTTTCTCTGAGAAGCAGTCAGGTGAATTTGCACAGGTGGGGGAGAAGACTGATAAAACTTGCATACACTTCCCTACCTTTACTCTCACTGATATCTAGGGGAAGAAATGTATGTCTAAATTCCATTTGTTTTCCTTTAGCTTGTTTTAAAAATGGTTAAACATCAGGTGTACTGACTGCCAAAATGTACTAAAGCCAAACAGTTTGGGCTGTTGACTAAATGAAATATGACACATTGAATGTACATTTTTATCTAAGTTTGAAGATAACGTTGAACCAACAGGTTTCCCTGTTGGCACTTGGTATGGAATAGGAGAAGGCTGTTAGGGCCAACCCTAGAGAGAGGGGGACTGACAAGCTTAAGGTGACACAGATAGAAGCAGGGCACAAATAAGTAACCTCCTATCACCATGGGGGTAAGAAGAGTGAAAAAACGGAAACTTTTTATTTAAATTCACTGAGTTAAAAACCACAACAAAAAAACAGGACTCCTGGCTCTTTCTCTTACTGTTTAGTTTGTGTTTACTTAAACAGACAAGGGAACAAAAACTGGGTACTTACTAAAACTTCTGAAGGTTGGGGTCTTGATGTGTCAGATGACAAAAGGAAGCTGTGTTCACTTCTCTGTTAGGCCTCACTTCAAGGCTAATTGACCTACTTGCTCTTTGGCAGTTCCCAGAGAGATGATCTTCTCTTAGGCTACTCAAGATTTACCCTGTGCCTTATTCCTCTTAATCAGGCTTCAGGAATTTACACCTGGATGACCAAATGACCCTCTTACAGTACTCCTGGATGTTCCTCATGGCGTTTGCCCTGGGCTGGAGGTCCTACAGACAGACCAGTGCAAATTTGCTGTGCTTTGCTCCTGATCTGATTATTGATGAGTAAGTAATGAGTCATTTTCCCTATTCTCATTTATATGGTATGTTTCATCAGCTGATGGTTTCCAAATGGACTAGATTTCCACTGTAAGAATTCAGGATTGAATCAATCCTATAAGCTATCTAGGAACTGTACAGACTTGAAACAGCTGGTTTTCATGTTTGGGATAGATCAAATGCAATATAAAGCAACTAAACAAATATGCATGTGGGACTATTACTGTCCTGGGACTGTATCTTTAGCTAGGTATGGTGGCTTGTACCTGTAACCCCAGTTACTCAAGAGATAGAGACTGGAAGGCCATCCTGGGCAAAAGGAGTTAATGAGACCCTATCTCAACCAACAAGCTGTGTGTGTACTCCTAAACTCAGTTATACCTAGACAGAAGTGTAGAGATCTGAAGCTTGCTACAAAAACATGAGCCCTTATCCAAACACTGAAGCAAAAGAATTAGGGGTATGGCTCAAGTAGAGCACCTGCCTAGTATGCACAAGGCTCTATGTTCAAATCCTAAAAGATTTTAAATACTGAGCATGCCTGACTGACGTAAGTCTGTGGCAAGGAGCTGCAATATTATTTTAATTCTATAACCCTATTCTAGAAAGTAAAAGGAGGGTGGAGGGTAAGAAAAGTCTTGTGAACTCAATTAGAGACAATTAGAGATGAGGACATCTCAGCTGTGGAGCTGAGAGTTGCGGACCAGAGATAAGAGGTGTCCCTTTGCGTGGCAAGACTCACAATATCTGTGACTTAGGACATGAGAGAAGATTAATACTGAAACTTAAAATTTGATAAACCAGCTCTTTGATTACATCAAGGCCTGTGCCGTTCATGAAGTATTTCAGGTGTCCATTTCCCATCTCCTCACCTCCATCGTTGCTTTAGTTTCCTACCTCGAGTGAAGCCTTCCTTGTAAAGTTTTCTTCTTTAACATAGTTCTGATGGCTTCACACCTCTCTCCAGTGCACCCTCGCTCACCACCTAGAGCCACTCTGCGTGACTTAACATGTTTCAGTACCTGGCCTCACTGTCTCACTCCCATTGTCCTTCATAAACTTTGTTCCTACTCAGCTAATCTATTCTTCAAGCATGACCCTCAGTTCACGGTGAGACCAATAATTGGCCGTACATCCCTAGTGCTCCTTATTTTCTATTCCCAGTTACCTCTTCGTGCCCATAGCTTGCTTCCTTCTTTAGAAAAAGGGGGATACACGTGGTTTGACAAGAGAACAGAATGGAGGTTTGGAGCAGGAAATAGTGGCGTACTCCTGTAATTCCAGCTGCTCAGGAGATAGAGACAGGAGGATCATGGTTCAAGGCTAGTCCAGGCAAAAAAATAATAACAATAAAAGAAGGTAGTAAGACCCTATCACACCAAAAAGAAAAAAACCTAGAAATAATGGTGTATGCATGTAGCCCTCCCTACTCAAAGAGGATCCCTGCTCTTGACCCCAGGCCCCAAACTAAGGCTGAAAAATAAAAGAACAGTCCTGGCTCAAGTGGTAGAGTACTTGCCTAGCAAATATAATACCCACCCCCATAACACCAGAAAAAGTAAATAAAATTGGAGGCTTGTATATGCGTGACAAAAGATAGGGCTTAATTACTAATTACAGATGCTGCATTACCTCAAAAATTATGAAACCATCCATTATGCATAGGGAGATTTCACTATTACATTTCCACATGGTTACAGGATGTTCTAATCATTCTCCCCACCACTGTCACTCTCCTTCCTAAAATTAATGAAATCTTAAGCTCACTAGAGTAGCAATATCACTGCACTTTTATGTGAATAAATCCATTAACGGCCGTTTGTGTTCACAACTGGGTACCACATTCCCAACAACAATGAACACCTGAAATGTCTCCGAGTGGCAAAGAGTCTGAAAATGAATGCTGACTGTTAATATGCATTGTTTAGAGAACAAGATATGCATTGTTTGGAGCATCAAGGAGAGCCTGAAGACGTAGAGGGTAGGAGTCAGAGGAAACCATGTATTTGAGCTGAAAGTTAATAGGAGAGCCTGGTCTATGATACAGTAAGCTCCCATCATTGTTTTGGGGATAGGATGATAGTTGCCCCAAAAGCTTCAAGAAGCAACTTTGGCAGTGCACAGGAAACTTCAGGTGATGAGGCTAGATCCAGAACCTTTCCCCTTGTCCTACTAAGTAATTCCAGAGCCACGTAGATAAATAAGAACTACATGTAGCAGAGATTTCGGTTTTTCCCGCTACTGGTATAGCTGCATAGAAAAATCCTAGCTAAACTACTGAACTAGCCTGATTTTTTTTTCTCCTCTGGTAATACTTATTTTCCAAGATTATGCTCCTTTCTTGGAATTTTAAGTACTTCCCAAACTTCCTGACACTATTATGGCAGCCTGAAATGAAATCGTGAATAAAATAGACGAGACCCCTGCCAAGTCAGATAGGGAACTCAAATAGATGACCAAAACTATTTCTAGAGCTCTGATCCATAGTGGGACTAGGGTGCAGAAAAAAGATTGTGACCACAGAAGGCCCAAGTAGCTGATCCTCAGCTACACAAAATAACAAGCTGGGTTAAAGCACCAGACATTCCAAGTACAAAGATGTGACACACCACTGCGAATCCTGTAGGCTGTGGAATAGTTTACAACAAATACTCATCATATTCCTAGTGATTCTTTGTTTTGTGGGCTTGGGGTTTGTTCTAGCTTCAGTGCTGAGGAGTAAATAGGAAGAGGGCCTCACACATGCCAGGCCAGTGCTGTGCCCGCCCTTCCCACACGCCCATCACTCTCTTAAAGTGCCCCAGACATGACAACAGCAGTACAAGACAACATGTCTGCTCTTTAGTTGTCTACATGTTAGCAGAGGTAACTAATGGTCCCTGGGAGTAGGTGTCACCGGGGCCTCAGGCTTCCTGTGAGAAGCAACTTGATAATGCACATAGGCTGTTAGTTCAGCTGCTTTGTGTTCTCAGGAGGGACCACATCTGATCCTTCACTAGTAGCTACTACTCATGATTGGCCAGCCAGCACTGTACACAGACACACAATGTCTGTGTCAGAAAGACACCAAGATTAGTTTTTTGATCCAATTTTGAAATAATTGGGAAATATATTTAGATTACATGGAAACTCAAAACACTCATTTCAGAAGACAACCATATTTTTTTTTTCTAAAAGAATCATGTTAAGGGTGTTCAGTTGCTTTTAAGCAATTTGAAGTTACTTAGATATGAAAGACCAGCTCACCCTTTTATTTGTAAATCTAATTCAGAGTTTTATTTTTAGGAAATCCAATTTAGATTTAAGCAGTCACATCACAATCTGATTAGACCACATACATTTCTTATATAAAGTGAGAATTATAGAAATATTACCTCAACAAATTAATTTGATGTTCTTCACAGAACATCACATTGTAAACTTGCTAATGGGTTATTTTCCTCAATAATCCTCCTTTGGAAGATCCCTGCATGACAGGAGAAGCAGTTTGTAGTCAGCGTCTTTACATTCTTACATGGCTGTGTGTTAGGTGGACAGGCTTCCTGCTCATGTGTTTGTTGTATCTGTGACAGGGAGATTTAGTGTGAGATGTGTGCCTATCAAAGTTCCTCATGGTTGTCCTTAGTGCACAGTGTTGCTACAGGAGATTGGAAAGGTGCTTCCTCAATTAGATATTTTAAAGAAGAGCCCTAGGAGCTTTTCCTGACCACTTTGTCAGCATACACCTTAAATGGAATTCATCTTATTATAGAAATAAAAAACTATTAGATAAAATAATGTAAAGAAAGCTCCAAAGGCCATGAACTGAGCACAGTTTCAGGTCGTGGTGTTACACATCTATAATCCCAGCACTTGGGAAGATGAAGCAGGAGGACTGCAAGTTTGAGGTCACTCTGGGCTAAATTGAAAAACCTTGGGGTAAAAGAATATTCAGTCTTTCTATTTCCTAACTGGAAAGCCAGGTCCCATGGTTTCCCTTATCTGCAATAACTAGTATATGTCTAGGACAGGCAGAAGAGGTCAAAAGCTATGTACATATGATCATATTACCTGATGCTAAGCAAAATGAACCCCAAGATAGGGGTTGTTCTTTTTAATGTACTTATATGATAATTTCATTTCTTTGTATGTTCTTCCCCCATGGTACAACCCCTGTTGTCACTGTATTTGATTCCAGTGTCCTGAATCTTATATATACATTTTTCTAATTTGGGGAGGGGAAGGGAAATAACAAAATGCTGAAATAAGGATACAGGATGACCCACTGTAACAATGAGATGTACAAGACACTATGTTGAAAACGAAGTTTACAACTTTGGCCAGGGGTAGGAGGATAGGGGGGAGGTGGGGAAGAAAGGGATTGTGGGGGAAAAATAAAGGAGGATGTAACAATGCTCGATAGGAAATGGACTCATTACCTTGCCCATGTAACTGTAACCCCTCTGTATAGTATCTTTACAATAAAATATATATATAAAGAACAAAAAAAAGAATATTCAGTCTCATCTCTGACATAGAGGTAGCTTTTGGCTAAAAAAGAAAAAGAAAAAAAAGCCTACATTCAGGTTTAGGCCTCTGCATAACTACATTGTCACAGATGGTTGTCCCCATGATAGACTAGTTGGGGGTGAGGGGAGGCCTTGTGAATTTTAAGTGTATGCAGCCTAAAACTGTGCTCTCTGGCCATATTGAAATGCAAAACCTGGACTTAAATGAACAACTAATAATATACAATAGCAATAAATAAAACAATACATAGTAGGTAAGATCATACAATAGTTTTAGATTCTCCAGACTGGGAACAAGTTGGAGGAAGGTTCTCCACAATTCTAGTTCTATTAGGAATTAGCATTAAATCAAAAGAAATGTACTATTTGGGGAACTAGCTCTGTTTCTTTCTAATCCAAACACTCATATTTGTCTCTCACAGGCAGAGGATGAGTCTACCCTGCATGTATGACCAATGTAAACATATGCTCTTTGTTTCCTCTGAGTTACAAAGACTTCAAGTGTCTTATGAAGAGTATCTCTGTATGAAAACCTTACTGCTTCTCTCTACAGGTTGGTAGACTACCTATTCACTACTAAGACTCAGTACCAAATATGGAATATCAAAGTCTAAAAACAAAGGTCCAAATATATTAGTTTTTTGTGTATATTATATATGTATATATAACTAATAACCAGTCTACTACTATGTTTTGCTCACCATATACCTTTGGTAAATAAATTTTGAAGGCATATTCATTAGTATCAAAATTAATAAGACAAGTTTAAAGCTGCACAGGATTCTCTGGTAGGAGGGAGTTGTGCAAACTGCTTTTTCCTCCCACCATTTTGGTCTTTGGTAACATCACTATATGAGCCATGGAAAAAGAAAGCCAACAATGATTTAATTTGTCTATTTCAGTGACATAATAAAGACTATAAACATGTATCCTAGAAAACAGCACTAAACGTTTGTAAACCATTCTTGAAAGTTTACACAAGGCTGCTGATGTCTTGTGTAAGATTTCAAGGTAACTTTCAGCTAGCAAAGATAGCATTGAAAAATATGAAGCATCTTGTACATATTAGTTTGTGTCACATTTTTAGTAAGTCACAAAAAGCATGTCTGATGAAACACTTCTCCAAAATCCACAAAGAACTTTTTAAACTCAATAGTAAAGAAACAAGCTGATTTTTAAGATGGACCAAGGACTCTTATTAAGGAAGATATAACAGTGGCAAAAAGAATATGAAAAGAGGCTTCCCATCAGGCAAATGAAAATTAAAACAAGAGTGCAAAACCACTACAACCTCTAAAATAATGACAGCACCAAATGCTGGTAAGGATGTGGAGCAAGAGAAAGGTTCAGTTCACTTCTGGAGGGAATATGAATGCTGTGTCTCTTTATCACAGCTTTATTTATCCTGCCCAAACTTGGCAGCAACTAAGATGGTAATGGACAAACTGTTATCTAAAAAATGGAATATTTGTCAGCCTTAAGAAGAAATAGACCTCAAATCGTGAAAAAATGAATCTTAGGACATCAAGTTATTTTTTTAATGAAGCTTAATGTTCATAGTGAACATTACCAACCTGAAAGGTTTTCAGTGGATTGATGCTGATATGAATTAGCTTGAGAGTTCAAACTCCCAGGAATCCAGTATTAAGTGAGTCCCTCATACTTTCTTGTGTTTGTCTTCAGAAACAACTAGGTTCTCATGGTAAATATGAAAGAAAATCCCCTCATTCTCCTGGCAAGCAGGAGAAGAAAGTAAGCATTTGGAAATATACAGATACACGTGTCAGGTGTTTTCTCTTACAAAGATCTGCTCTATTGGGAAACTTACTTCACCAGAGCCTTAGGTGACCTGCTGGACAAGGCAAATGGAGGATCCCAGCCACTTCTATGGCTTCTGTCTATGGGACAAGGAGAGAGAGGAAAAGAGCTTCTAGGAAATATTTCTGAAGGTCACAATCCAGTGAATCAGGCCCAGTTTAAAAAAAAAAAAGATGTAAGCATAAGGATTATTTATACCTTACCTGCATATCAGCAGTCTCCAGTATAGTAGTGGCTGAGACTTGTCAGCTACTAGATTATTCAGAAATTCTTAGGAAAGACAGAACATAGCAGAGAGTTGAAGAACAAAGTAATAGCATAGAAACCAGAGCCTCTTGCAACCATAGCTACAACAAATGTTAAACACTGTCCAGCATTCCTCCACTGAAAGATCAAATTTGATATATCCTATCCAGCTCTCAAACACACACACACACACACACACACACACACACACACACACACACACACACACACACACACACACACACACACACACACACACACACAAGGTGTGCTAAGAGGCAGGAAAAAAACAAGCCACTGTCTGAAGAGACAAAGTAAGCATTAAAACCAACCCCAAACTTATGGAATTTATCATGAAATTAAAAGTAACTGATCTCTCTCTATATATAAAGGACTAGTGAAAAAAGGAGACTGCATGTAAGAACAGATTTGTAATGTAAGGAGAGGTGGAAATGCCAAGAATACTGGAACTCTGAGTAAGAACACAGCAGAGGGATGTAAGAATGTTGTTGGCAGGCCTATCAGTAGATGGACACAGACAAGGAAAGAACTGGTGCAAACTTAAATGCAAGAAGAAAAGAAATGGGAGAAAAAAATGCAACAGTATTTAAGAACTCTGAGATGATTTGCAGGGGAGGGTATGGCATACATGTATGGAGATACTTAAATAATCCCAAAGTTAATGACAGATACCAAAATGTAGATACAGGACATTTAGAGAATACTAAGAGAAACAGCCAAAAAATATTTTATATTTTTGATGTATCTCATTAAAACTTCAGAAAACTAACAACAGAGAAAAAGTAAGAGAAAAAAGCAGCTTCCATACTTAGCCATGCAAGCAGGAGGACTGTGAGGTGACAGTGTTAAAAGAAAAAAACCCAGTAACCTGCAATAGTGTACCCAGATTATTCAAGTGAAGGAGACGGGGTGAACGTGGTGGTGCATGCCTGTAACCCTCACACTCCAGGTGCTGAGGCAGAGGATCCACAGTTCAAGGCCTGCTTACGTAGTCAAACAAATGTAAGAATAGCCTAAATGGGGCAAATTTGAGCAAAGTAAATCATACACAAATGCTTTTGGAAAACTAATGAAAAACTTTCAGATGGAGAGCACAAGGCAGTAAAAGTGCAAAGTTTAAAAAAAAAGACAAGTAGGATAAGAAGACAGTTACAGTCATCATAGATATTTAATCCAGCTTCAATAATCACTATAAATGTAAATGATCTAAATATATCAGTATCTATTTTTAATGAAAGTAAACGTTTGCCACTATAGTCCCTCACTAAAAAATATTAAAGGATAAACTTAAAGAGATTTCTTCTTTATTCATTATTCCTACTTACAGTGATAAATACACAGATGCACTTACTTTATAAAAAATAATGGTATAATGACCTTGGATTAAAAAATAGAACTGAAATACAAAAAGAACCGAAACATGAGGTAAAAAACGTTCATCTAAGCCAAAGAGGTAGTTTGATAAGAATGAATGTTGAAATTGCCGGAGCACGGTGGGTGCAGGCAGCAGGCACCACAACAGATACTTCAAAAGATAAAATGGGTTGATCTTGGTGGTTTCTACCTGTAATCCCAGCTACTTAGGAAGTGACATGAAACTGGGGGCAGTGAGGCAGAGTTAACATGAACACGTCACTGCGAAACGACACTGAGAAAGAAAAGCATGAAACACAGAGTTCAGTCCTGAGTGAGAGGAGAGGGAAGTAGGAGTGGGGAGCAGAAGAGGCATACGACAGATAATGTAGTACACGTTGATTTGTTCTACATCAGTAATTTGAACACATGCTCCAGGCTGAACTGAAAGACTAACATTTTCAAACAATCCAACTATGTTACTTACAAGAGTATATGAAGAATATGAAAATCTAAAGGCTGAAATATAAAGAACATACAGCACACTAAGCACAGTGTGAGAGATGGCAAGCCTGTTCTGTAAAAGGAAGGTTGGTAAAAGTTTTCACCTCACAGCTGCTGTCCAAACTTTGCTCCTGTGCACAGATAGGCACTGGTAGCTGGAGAAGGTATAATAGTTTCTCTGGAAAGGCCTGAAATACAGAAATCTGCCTTTGTAGTCAACATTTAGTTTGTCTTTTGTTCAACCCTTTCCCCAAATCCTTCTGCCTTATAACCGCTGTTAACAAAGAGCCAACACTCTACACAGGTGTCCACCCTGCAAGACTAAGTGATCACTGTGGCACTCATTTTCTAAGAATAATACAACAAACGTGATTGTGTACCAGCTTTATAGTTAGATACCATGAGTGTTTTAATTTTGGTTTTGTTTTGGCAGGACTGGAGATTGCACACGCAAGGCCTGTCACTTTAGCCACACCTCTAGTCCCCCTACGCCCTCTTTCTTTGTAAAGTCTCTAACAGTAAAGCTTAGAGTCTACTTCCTCCCTGTGTGACTACATCCTAGCTATCACAGATATGCCATCACACCCTGCTATTGGTTGAGATAAGGATCTCACTAACATTTTTACTGGGCTATCTTCAAGCCAAAATCCTCCTGAGTATCAGGGATTATAGACAAAAGCCAAAAAGCCTAACCTACGACTTATTTTTAATTATCATATGTAAAAAAAGAAATATTTACTCTTTCACAAGACATTTCTATAGACTACAGTAAAATTTCCTTTTAGACTGTAACAACTCTGAATGCTATCACATCTAAAAAATATATTGACTATATTTTAATTTTCTAATTGATGATTATCACAGATACTCTTAAGTTATAACTACTGTTCAAGCCTTCTATCTCAAAACAGAATAATGTCAAGTGCAGAATGACCAACTGAATAATCACTATCATTCAACTTGGCCTTCAAAAACAGCACTAGCTCTATTGTATGAGTTCCTAACCAAGAGAAGACTCAGGGTGAAGACCTCCAGTTCTCTGTGCTATGTCCTCTCTTAAGATAGTTTCAAAGTCCTTTTAAAATACAAGTTTTAGGATGTATGAAGTATGCTCTGAAATGCCATAGTTGGTGAGTGTAAAGCTATAGAAAGGAAATTCTTTAAGGACTCTTTCTTAATCTTTTAGTTCCAAAGGAAGGTTTGAAGAGTCAAGAGCTATTTGATGAAATCAGAATGACCTACATCAAAGAGCTAGGAAAAGCCATTGTCAAAAGGGAAGGAAATTCCAGTCAGAACTGGCAGCGTTTTTATCAGCTGACCAAACTTTTGGACTCCATGCATGACGTAAGTGCCAAACTTACAGCCAATGTCATAAGAGGTTTGAAGAGCATGTAATATATATTTGGTATAGATTATATGTTTTATATACTATATTAATATATAATATATAGTAATATCTACATTTGTAGATTGGAGTTCAATTTGCAGATTCCAATTTTGCACCCATTTTTTTCATCTAGGCATGTGAATTTTTAAAAAAAAGTTACTACAGTACTTTTTTCAAAGAAGGTAACCCTCCCTGGCGGGCCTGAGTTCCTGTTCCCTGCCCGAGATCACCAAGCATTGGGTACCATGCTGGACTTGCCCTCCACACACAATTTAAGAAATTTAAAATGTTAAATGTTTAAAATTTTTTATTATATTTTTTGTCGGTCATGGGGCCTGAACTCTGGGCCTGGGTGCTGCCCCTTACCTCTTCAGCTCAAGGCTAGCACTCTACCACTTGAGCCACAGCGCCACTTCCAGCTTTTTCTGCTTATATAGTGCTGGGGAATCGAACCCAGGGCCTCATACATGCAAAGCAAGCACTCTACCACTGAGCCACCTTCCGAGCCCCTAAATTTTTAAAAAAATATTTAAGAGCTTATTTAACTGAGGGATTCCAGTACTAGTGTATTTTAGGTCATATGTTTGTTCATGAGACCCACAAACACGAGAGATGTTCATGTTGTTCACTTTTGAATCCTAATTGGTACTGTATCTTCTCTTGCAGGTGGTTGAAAATCTCCTTAACTATTGCTTCCAAACATTTTTGGATAAGACCATGAGTATTGAATTCCCAGAGATGTTAGCTGAAATCATCACCAATCAGATACCAAAATATTCAAATGGAAATATCAAAAAACTTCTGTTTCATCAAAAGTGACTGCCTTACTAAGAATGGTTGCCTTAAAGAAAGTTGAATTTATAGCTTTTACTGTACAAACTTATCAACTTGTCTTGTAGAGGTTTTGCTGGTTGTTTCCTTTTGTTTTTGTCTGTTTTGTTTTCTTTTAACATGCACTACATGTGGTTTCTAGAGGGCCAAGCCTTGGCAACAGAAGCAGTTGAGTCACCACTTGCAAGTGATGGCCAAGTAGAGAGTGAAATCTATTAGTTATGTCCCAGAAAGGAGATGCAGGAAATGTGGGCTAATTTCCACTGTCAGAAGGCACCTAAACCACCAGTGCCCAAAGTCTGTGTGAGGAACTTTCTGCTCATACTTTTCAGTTGGCTGGATAAAACTTTCTAGATTTTTTTTTTTTTGCTGGTGTATTTTCCCATGTATAGTTAGGATAGCATTTTTTGATTCATGCATGGAAACCTGAAAAAAGTTTACAAGTGTATATCAGAAAAGGGAAGCTGTGCCTTTTATAGCTATTACTGTCTGGTTTAAACAATTTCCTTTATATTCAGTGAACTACGCTTGCTCATTTTTTCTTACATAATTTTTGTATTCAAGTTATTGTACAGCTGTTTTAAGATGGGCAGCTAGTTCATAGCTTTCCTAAATAAACTCTAAATATTAATTTTCTGTGTGAAAATGGGTTGGTGCTTCTAACCTGATGGCACTTAGCTATCAGAAGACCACAAAAATTGACTCAGATCTCCAGTATTCTTGTCAAAAAAGAAAAAAAAATAAAAAGCTCTTCTTTTGTATATATCTGCTTCCAGGGAGAAGTCTATAGAATTGTGCAGATTCATTGCCCTAACTGGTATTGAGCGCCTAGTCCAGTGGCCTGCTGGGTAAACCATGGAGGATGGTTGCAAAGCCTAATTTTAAAACATATAATTATCAAGAAGCACCTAATGCCCTATCTCTGTAGTGGTTAGATGTCAAGAAAGTTGGTAAATTAATTCTTTCGGGACCTTTTTTTTTTTTTAATTTGTATGATTTCTTAAAAGTGATGATTCCAGATAAGCAGCTGTAACACAGCAGAGAGATTATTTTTTTAATCACACCAAGGAATGCCTCCCACTAAGCCCCCAAACTCAATTTCTAATATGGCAAAAGTGGCTAGATACCCATTTTCACATTTACATCTGTCATTGATTGGTCTCTTTCCTGGTGGTACAGGAAAGTTCAGCTACTGATTTTTGTGATTTAGAACTGAATGTCAGACATCCATGTTGTAGAACTACACATCTTCTGTGTGTGCCATACAATTTAACAAGTCTTGTGAAATTCTTCACTGTTGAAAATGATGATTTTAAACAAAACAGAAGCTGTAGTAGCCCTTTCTGTGTGCACCTTACCAACTTTCTGTAATCTCGAACTTAACATATTTACTATGCCACAGAAATTTGATTTCTACTCAGAGTGGCCAAATTATTTGTGTAATAGAAAACTGAAAATCTAATATTAAAAATATGAAACTTCTAATATATTTTTATATTTAGTTATAGTTTCAGATATATATCATATTGGTATTCACTAATCTGGGAAGGGAAGGGCTACTGCAGCTTTACATGCAATTTATTAAAATGACTGTAAAATAGCTTGTATAGTGTAAAATAAGAATGATTTTTAGATGAGATTGTTTTATCACGACATGTTATATATTTTTTATAGGGGTCAAAGAAATGTTGATGGATTTCCTATATGGTTTCTAGTGTGGGTAAAGCAGTCACACAGGCATTAGTGCTCTCAGAAACCAAACAGGTTTGCCTAGAGGAAGAGGGAGCCGGAGACAGCCCTGTGTGCAGTGAAGGTTGCTGAGGCTCTGACCAAATACATCACAGGAAACAGCGCTCTGACCGCCCTTCTCATCCCAACAGCACGTGTCAGCACAGGTGTAGTTCATTGACTCTCCCCAAGTGTGAAAGTGTGCATTCAGGATAGAATGGTGGTGCTTGTTAGTACAAGCACCATCTAACAGCAGGTTACTTTTGCATACAGCCTCTCCAACAGGCTAACAAAAGCAGAGGCTTTAGAAGTTCGGCAATAATATGCATAGAAGTTCCAGCAATATGTAAATAGCGCAGAATCCCATAAGATGCCAATAATACACTAATTCCTTTCGATCCTACAGAGTTCGTTTCCAAGGAAAATGAGGACATGTTTATGTTTTCTTTGAATGCTTTTTGAATGCTGTTATTTTCAGTATTTTACAGAAATTATTTAATAAAAAGGTAATCATTTACTTTCTTGAATGCTCTCTAAAAAGAATGTTCCTTTGGTAATGGTTTAAATTGATCTCAAAGTACTTTAAGATGGTTGTAAACCCAGCTGGATGTGAAATTTATGGTGCCTAAGAAATACCACTTGAATATTATCAGTGACAGTGTTAAGTTTCCAAAGAGCTTCTCAAAAGTGATTGTTGTTCACTTTACAGAGTGTTCTGTGGTTAACACCAGAAGGCACATCGCACATCAATCCTGTTCCAGACCCCGCACCCTTGGCTCTCAGATACCGAAGCGCTGTAAACAGATATGTGCACTCTGTTGTCAACTGACATTCATAAAACTATTGCAGGCTTTTTACTAAAAGAAAAAGCTGCCATGCTCTTTTTAGAACTTGCAGGAAAGAAGAAAGTTATCATAATTGTGTCTGAGTATAATTATGAACTTGTGTGCAAAAATAGATACATTACGCTTGAACGCAGCTTCATTTTCTATGTGTGTGGTTTCTTACCATCCCAAACAACTTAGGTTTAGGGCAAGTTCAGTGAGAACTGGTTTTATGTCCATGTGACTCACACAGATCCTGAAAAGTATTTTTAATTATGGCTTTAAAAAAGTGATTCTCTCAGTGTTTTTAGGCATTGCTGTGGGATACTGTACAAGCAATCATAAGGAGCTTAGGCCATGACAGTCTGGGGGTAGATATACCCACACTATGTAAAACTGGGAAGGGAACTTAGGGAATACCTGCCTTCTTGGGGGGGGGGGGCAGGGTGGAGGGAGAAAACCCTTGGCCACCCCAAAGAGCAGGTGATGAGTGTCTGAGGAGCTTGATGAGGGCAGGGGGCTCTGGGCCAGCACAGGGGAAAAGCAGCCAGCCTCACTTCAGAATCAGGAGGGACGAAGGATGAGCAGCCTCAAGGTGACTCGGGTCGTATCATTGCAGATCCCTTTTAAATACCTATCTCACCATGCAATGAACAATATTACTAATTTTGAGCTAGTGGCCTTTGGTAAGATTTTCATCTCAGTTGGTCACCCCAACTGTAGCTATAGTTGAATGTGTTTTTATGTGCCTGGCTTCAGTATTGGAAGGGAAAAATAAAAGTGTATGGAAAACACTTTACATCACTTTGGATGAAAGTTTTATCATTTTCAATCAACCTAGTCCACCAAGGATAAGTGACTAGGTTTTCAGGAAAGGGTTAGCTTCTCTAAAAATGTCTGAAAGGATTTTATTTTCTGATAAAGACTGTATAAAAATGCCCTCCTTAAATAACTTGCTTAACTACATAGAGATTCAAGTGTGTCAATATTCTATTTTGTATATTAAACAAATGCTATATAATGGGGACAAATCTATATTATACTGTGTATGGCATTATTAAGAAGCTTTTTCATTATTTTTTATCACAGTAATTTTTAAATGTGTAAAAATTAAAACCAGTGACTCCTGTTTAAAAATAAAAGTTGTAGTTTTTTATTCATGCTGAATAATCTGTAGTTTAAAAAATGTCTTTTTATCTACGCAGTGACATGTCAGACTGTAAAATCTTGTGTGGAAATGTTTAACTTTTATTTTTCATTTAAATTTGCTGTCCTGGTATTACCAAACCACACATTTGTACTGAACTGGCGGTAAATGTTAGTTAGCCATTTACAGCAATGCCAAATATGGAAACATCATAATAAAATACCTGCTTTTTCATTATGTGGCTCCCAGAATGCTTTTGTAGAACTTGTAAAGTTGCAGTTTTTCTATTTTTTTTCCCCTCCACGTTCTACTGAATGTAGTGTCCTTACTTCAGGAGGGTTAAATGATGATAAAGACATTTAGATGACAGTGTTCAATGTGTACATTTTAATGTAACAAATTCCAAATGAACTGAACCCCAGTGCCAAAGACTCACAGACTCTCCTATCCATGCCTCAAACAGTTGTATGCCTTTTGCACCAAAGCACTACTTCTAAGACTACTCCAACCGTTGCAATCATATGAGCCAAGCACGACGACTCAAACCTATAATCCCAGCTGTTTGGACAACAGAGGGCAAGGGGGATCATGCTTCAGAGTCAGCCTAGGCAAAAAGTTATTGCATCGCAACCAATAAGCTGGGTGTGTGCCTGTGGCCCCACCTGTACAGCCTGCCCCAGGTAAAAACGTAAGATCCTTTTTGGAAAATAAGAGACATGGCTCAAGCATGAGGAGTTCGAACCCAGTATTGTCCCCAAAAACTCTTAAGGAAAAATGACCTTTTATGGAGATATTATCTAGTCAAACTCCTTAGCTTATTTTAAACGTCCCTTTCTTAGAAAAGGGAATAAACAATAAATACAGCAGTGTTGCACAATACAGAAGAACAAAGGTGAGGGAAGAGCTAACTAAATCAACTATTCTTTTTTTTTGGGTCCGGTCGTGGGGCCTGAACTCTGGGCCTGGGCGCTGTCCCTCAGCTCTTCAGCTCAAGGCTAGCGCCGCTCTACCACTTGAGCCACAGCGCCACTTTCGGCTTTTTTCTTTTTGCTTATGTGGTGCTGAGGAATCGAACCCAGGGACTCAGGCATGCAAGGCAAGCGCTCTACCACTGAGCCACCTTCCCAGTCCCCTAAATCAACTATTCTTTACAATATATTTCATAGTTTCTACATGATGTGTTCTGCTGTGTATCTGTGAGTTAGATGACCCTATCAAGCAACTTTCCTATAAATACCTTTCAGAAGAGACCACCACAAAAAAGGTACTGTGATTTCAAAGCAAAATTTTCCTTATCATCATGCATGCACCAATTATTTGCTCACTGCTCCCCTCACACACTTGAAAGTGTGTGATTGGAAAAGTATGTAACAAGCATCCTTGCCCTGTGCAAAGCAGAGACAGGAAGATAGGTGTCAAGTGTGTGCCCACTGCCTTACCACTTGAGTCCATGCAGAATAGAGTCAACCCTCACCAGAAGAGACTATGAGAACTGGGGAGACGTTCTGACTCCATTTTATAGAAAAGGGAACAAGCTTAGAATTCCAGTAAGTCATCAGCCATACTACTCCCTTTATTAAAGTTTAAATGGAAAGCCTCTGTAAAGAAACCACTTAGCAATCACCTACAGCGTGTCTGTAGTCAATGAGTTTCTCAGGGAACTGTTTCTGTTTCTAAATGCAACCGATGCTTTACTGAGACCTTGCTATGTGCAATGTATTATTCATTTAATTTTAGTGACCTAATGAAGTGCCACTATAAAATACTATGACCCTCAACACCCCCATAGGAGGAAAAGAGGGTGTAAAGAATTGAGTAGCCTACCCAGAGTCATAAAGCTTGGAAATAATTAAGCAAGGAAATGGTTAATACACTGGGCATTTGTCTGAGTCCACGCTTTTAACCACTACAAGGAAGGATAACTAAACAGCATCTAAGTGGAGAAATGAGTCTGTGCCAAACATTAGACATGCTAGTCTTTGAACAGGATCTCATTTAACTGACAGACTGCTGGAGAAGTGGTTAAAAAAACAAAAACAGTAGCTGCTCACAAATGTAGAACACCATTTGGTTTGCCACATGTACAAGGAAGAACCTCTATCTCACAAACATCTGCAAAATAATACGTAAACATATGAAGCAAAGAGGCTGTAGCCCAAGAAGAAAGCTGTTTTAAGTCGTTAAGTGCTACTTAGACTTTGGGTATAGAAAGAGGTTGACAGCACGAGGTACTTACACTAGGTGAATAATTTTCAGCTTCTAACTAATAACCTCTCTTAACTGGGACTAAGTAGCTCTGAACAGCCTAATAGCATTTTCTTTCTGCAGAAAGAACATTGCCTCTGTTCTTATGTATCAGGCTTCTCATTCCCTAGCCAGGATGGAACGGCAAGACCATTTTTATTTGTCTGGCTGTAGAGATACAGTTCATACAGAGCCCCTAAGACACCCTCATTTTCCCTGGCTCACTGGGAAGTGACAATTTATACTCTATTCATCTTATGCACTCTTACCTGAAATAATCAAGAGATTAGTAACATGTACAAAGCAAAGAATAAACTTCTGCTATGATTAAGGTGGTTTTGTCTTATAAAGTAGCATCTGTAGATAGTATGTAATATGTAATAGTCTTATTTCCTGCATAACCAATGCTATGTGTGTGTGTATGTATGTGTGTGGGTGCGTGCACGTGCACATATGTGTATGTAGTGCTAGGACTACCTGAGAAACCAGTAGTGTTGGTCTGACCAACAAGTGTGAGGCCATGATCTCAAACCCCAGTTTTGAAAAGAAAAAAAAAAAACCACAAAAGTCGCAGGGCACTGGTGGCTCACGCCTATTATAACCCTAACTACTCAGGAATCTGAGATCTGAGGATCGTGGTTCAAAGCCAGCCCAGGCAAGAAGGTCCGTGAGACTCATCTCCAATAAACCACTAGAAAACTGGAAGTGTCACTGTGGCTCAAGTGGTAGAGCGCTCACCTTGAGCTGAAGAGCTGAGGGACAGCACCCATGCCCAGAGTTCAAGCCCCCACGACCCACCAAAACAAAAAAAAAACACCTCAAAAGTGAAAAGAGGACAGAGTGCATAAAACCTAAGGCTCATGTGTCACAAATACTTTTTGGTCGTTTTTGCTACTGCTGTCTTGAAGCCATGTAAATGATTCAATTCAAAGACGACTAAGGCAACACTCAAACTCCAGAAAGAGGTTAGGTTGTCCTCAAGGAATTGGAGAGGAAGGGCAAATGACTCAGTAACTCCACTGCTATGCATCTACTCAAAACATTTGTCTACACAATCACTTGCAGGCACATTTGCACAGAAGTAGAACAGGGAAAGCAACTCGAATCCCCATCAAGGGAAAACAGATAAAATGTGGCTCAACTACCACACAGAATGTTATATGCCTCCATAAAAGAAGTGAAATACTGATGCATGATCTACTTGGACAAGCCTAAAAGATGCTCTAAATAAAAAAATCCTGACACTTTTTTAAAGACCACTTATTTATTTTTACTTTCAAATCCAGAAAAGGCAAGGCTCATATAGCACCAGAAAGCAGACCAGTGTTGCCAATGGTGAGGGTTAACATGAGGACTAACATGCAAATGAGCTTGGGAGGGAACTTTGAAAGATGATGGAAATGTTCTAAGACTACATTATACTGTTGAATATATACCTCAGTAGACTTAATGTAAATTCTTACCACACTTAAATGAATAAATTTTGTGATTTATAACCTGATAAATCACATACAAAGCATTAACAAATATAGTCAAATATATTAAAAAGAAGATAACATAGCCAAAGAGTTATCCCAGAAATATAGGGCTATAATAGCATCAGAAATCAAATAGCAGTGCTTTGGTGGCTTACACCCACAATCTTAACTACAAAGGACATGGAGGTCAGGAGGATCACAGTTTGAGGCCAGTCTGAGCAGAGTTCATGAGCCCCTATCACAGCAATGGCGCAAGGAAGTGACAACACACTTGTTGTCCTAGATATAGATCCAGCTGACCTAGGCAAAAAGCGAGACCTGATGGCTCGCACCTGTAAACCTGGTTACCTGGGTGGCTGAGACTGGAAAAGGTTGTAGTTCAGAAAGGTTCATCGGCCCCTCCCTGCTTTTTGCGTGCTGTTCCTGGCCTGAGCACTGTCCCTGAGCTAGGATTACAGGTGTGAGTCCTAGGCATCTGGCTAATGAGGTTCCCTTCTTAACCAACAGCTGCACACAGTGGCCCATGCCTGTCATCCTTGCCACACAGAAGCTGAGATTAGATGGACTGTAGTTCCATCCAGGCCAGCCCAAGCAGGAAAGAGCATGAGACTTCAATTCAATGGTAGAAGCGCAGGGTGGCAGTCCACATCTGCCATCTAGCTATAACATAATGGGGGAAATAGGAGGGTCAAAGACACAGCTTTCACCCAAAGGAAGACAGAGCTGTCTCAAAAAAATATTTTAAATAATAACTTTAGTTTTAAATAATAATTGTAAAAATAATCAAAACAAGGATTACAAGGGTGGCTCAGCATAGACTACTTGCCTAACAAAGTGCAAAGCATTGACTTCAAACCCCAGTACTGTCAAATAGAAACATAAACATATATATTGTATTTATTTACATTATTATTCATGTATGTGTGAATATATGTATACATTATATATATATATGCATGTGTTTGTATTTTTCATAATAGTAGGGAAAAAAAGACAGAGAAACCAATGTAATTAGACATATATAGATAAAATACTGGGCAAAATCTAGCATCATTGAATGCAAAAAAGTAAGTAAACAATAGGAACATAATAAGGGACATGTACAAAATCAAGCCATTTGGGATAACTGAGTGGTTTCCTCACGATCAGTAGCCAAACGTGGAGATCTGTTCTCTCCATTTCATTCATATGTTACATGGGAACCTTTAGCCAATGCAGTTAGAAGGACATACAGTATCCATAGCCAGGTGCCAGTGCTCATGCCTGTAATCCTAGCTACTGAATAAATTGAGATCTGAGGATCCTAGTGCAAATCCAGCCCAAACAGAAAAATCTGTGAGGCTCTTATCTTTAATTAACCATCAAAAAGCTAGAAATGAAGCTGTAGTTTAAGCAGCAGAGCACCAGCCTTGAACAAAGAAACACAGAGACAGTGCCTAGACCCTGAGTTCAAACCCCAGTCTGGCATAAACAAACAAAAACAGATCAGACAGGAACAAGTAAAACTATTTAGGA